AAATGAGTTATGAGAGGAAAGAAAGATATCACATGGACATTATTAGAAATGCCTCATTCTCACAGGAAATCAGGGCAAATTTTGCATAACAGGAAAACAGAAGAGACTAAAAAACTGAGGAGAAGAACCAGAAGAACCAATTTCAAACAGGAAAAATTCCCTCTCCTGTGACCAAAAACCGGTGGTTTTACCCTTGAGGCAAAGCCTCAAGTTCTCAAAACCAAAACCTTTTGTGAAAGGGATTCAGCACCTTCTAGGAATGCAGGTCATAAGATTTTGGATTACTTTAGATTAATTTGAAATATTTGGGGCTGGACTAGATGAGCTTTAATGGTTTCTTCCAACTCAAACCACTCCATGATTTGACAGAACAAAGAAATCTCCAAGAAAAAGCTGGAAAATGTGGAAAGGCTCTACTGTGCACACCCAAATCCTACAAATAGATTCTTCAGTCTTTTCCCACAAGGACATATTTTTTTGATCACTAATTCCACACAACTAATTACTGGTCTGGTTGCTACCAAAGCATTTAATGAAACTAGGAGTTAGTAAAACAGAATTAGTGTAACAGCATGAAAAATCAGCACCATGCTTGTGTACAAGATGTAATTAATGAGCTGATGACACACTCATACTCCAGACAAAACCTGGGGAAAATTAAAACAAATGCCAAAAAAACCATAAAGAAAGAGCTCTGCTGTATATATTTATATTTATTATCACAGTTTGTTTGCTTACCAGATAATTCAGCTGTGTTATTTGAATTAAAAGTGCAGAATCCCAAGGCCTGCAGTGCTGCATTACTGAGCTCCAAGTTTGGACTGGAAATGTGTGTCTGGGAAAAAAAAAAACAAAACCCAAATCCAGATTCTCAGGTGAGAAAAGTAACTGAGAAATATTGAGTTTATTGTCTGAATATCAACACTTCTGACAAAAGCAAACACCTGGTTAAAAATGCAGGAAACCCTCCCTGAATTCTGTACACACCAAATCAACAAAACAATTTGAGGTGCTGAAGGCATTTCTGCTCTCTGTAATAAAAACATCTTTAATGAAATAAATCCCAAACATTTCAAGCTTCTCACTTTGTATGTTAAGTTCTCTCACTTGACTCTGCAATTGTTTTTAAGCTTCTAAAACAGAAGGAAAAAATGGCTAAGGATAACCTTTGAATTAATCTTTAAAAAAGTTTCATGTTTACTGCCTATTCCAAATTCTGAAGTGTTTCTAGGGAGCCACAACACACTATCTCTTGTGGCTGGAAGATTAGATTTGACTGTGGGATGCTGCCTGAACCCAGCATTTCATTTTTTCTGCAGTAATTCCTCACCACAAGAAAGACCTATTTTGCAAAAAAAAAAAAACCCTTCCTGCTGTCACTACCCTGCAAACCTATTAAAGGTTGGATTCCAAGATTTCAGAGGTCTGTTCCAATCTTAATGATTCTGGGACTCTATAAATGAACTTCAATTTGATTCTTTCAATGCCCACTGACCTTGCCCACCAAAATATATCTTTGTTCATTAAAGTGTAAGAGACCTGGGTGGAAAAACCATACCTTGAACACTTTGCAGAGTTGAGGGAAGTGTTTCCTGACATCTGCAGTGAACGCTTTGCCTCCTTCACCACTCAAGCGACTTCAAGGAGCAGGAGGGAAAGTAAACAGTATTTACAGATTAAACACATTGTAATTGACTTGACTTTCAACTTCTGATACACAGCAGTGTGTTTTCTTGAAGGAAATCGACATGACACTGAAAGAGCAAAAATGCCAGCCCACGGTCTGACCCAGCAGCAAAACCCTGTGCTACAGCCCAAACTGAGTAATGACTCATTTTCTGCCTATAGAACATTTATAAAAACATAAAGGGCTTTCATTTCTTGGTCAGCTTCTATAGAACCATTAAAATTCAGCACGCAAACTTGAAATGACTTGCTGCAAATCAGAAAAACAGAAATGCAGGAGCTGAAAAAGCACATTCCTCATGAGCAGTTCCAGGATGCAGGAAAATCCTGGTTTGACAAGCAGCAAGGATGATTTTGCATATGTGTGAGGAACATCCTTGCAAGAAAGCTGTAATTATCCCATAAAACGTTAATCATGAGTTTCTCACTGCAAAACCCAAACCGTGCTAAGTTCAGTCATCCAGGGACAACCTGAGAAACCTGTTGCTGCTTAATACTTACATCAGGAGTTTCTTTTTTGGCTGTCAGTTATTTCTAGAAACCTGTAAAATCTGGTATCTGAGTAGCTACAACTTTAAAAGTCACTGCAGAACTGAAGTGAGACACCAAGAGAAAGAGATCGTGCCTTTGCACGTGACAAAATGGGAAATTTGCGGGTAAAAGACAAAACCTCGTGGGGAAGAAGCACCTTCCAGAAAGAAATACATTAAAACCAGGCACAACCACTCCAAAACCCGAAAAACGCAACTAAAAACTTCAAGCTTCCAATCATAAAGCTGCAACGCTTTTTCATTAACAGAAAGTTGTTTTTTTCCCAACGTTCTTCACCCACCTCTGATGATCATCACCTCTTGATGATCCATGAGGGTAGGGAGGCTCTGGGATGCGCAGATCCTGTGAAGATGCGCTCCTTCCTCCCTCCTCTTCCTCTCCTTCCTTCCCTCGCTCCTCCCTCCCATCTCTCCTCCTTCCCCTTCTCCCTCCCCCCAGCCCCGCATGTCTCCCAGAGGCCACGCCGCCCCCAGCCCCGATCCCAGCCAGGGCAGCAGATCCCGCTCCGATCGCCCTCCCGGCTCT